TGGAACCAACGACCTCAGGAGATGGCGAGCACTCCAACGCTGGAGACATTCAAGAGAAAATTGGGCAACCATCTGTCAGAGCTGCTTTGACTTGGATTCCTGCCTTGAGCAGAGGGTTTGACTCGATGGCGCCTTCCAATTCAATTATTCTATATGATTCTATATTATGGCGTGTTAAGAAGTGCAGAGGGCCTTGCTGCCTCTTTTAAAGGGTGAACTGCCATTCCTGAGGATGTACAGAGCTAGAATTCACCCCTTTTCCCCTTTGGAAAAAGAGGAGGGAAATAGCTGAGGGAGCTGCACATTCTCTTTCTTCTCTCTCAAATTGATAAAATGGCATGGTGAAAAAGGAACAGAATATTCTTAACTGCTGAAAGAGAAAACTCATAGAAATGTCATGCTCTTGATTGATCTTGATGCTAATAACGACTATATTTATGTATCCCTTGGTGGCACTCAACTGTTGTAGCAATTCTGAGCTTTGTTTGCACCATATGACCTAGATATTTATTTTTGGTAAGCCAGTTTAATCTTTAGTTAAATCAATTACTGATTTATTCCCCTCTTTTCACACCACACACTAGCTCCTTAATGTGCATGGCTCTGTGACTCCGATATTTATGATGGTTTGGCTTCTTTCTCCTTAAGCTTTCTATCAACTTCACTATAATCTATAGTGGGGAAAAAAAACATAGTCAGTGATGTGTTTACAGTTCCTTACATGATTAAATATGATGGTGATTGAATTAAGAATCTCTAAAACTCAAATAAATTGTAAAGTTCCCCTAAAATTATTACAATAATTGTGAAAGAATATATGTATCTAAAATACTAGTAACTTGAGAATCAATAATCTTAAAATTTGTATTGAGCTCCACCATTTCCCTCTAACATTGTAACTGCACAAATGTAGAAATCTTTTATGATGGATAGCTTTTTTGAAAATTGCCCAACAGATTGCTTTCCAGTTATTACTAGTAATTTTTCATTAACATTTTGCAGCAATATAATTATTCATAATTGATTATGTAATAACTAATTTCATCATCCTGCTGCTTAATCTTTTTAATCTCCCTATTCTTGTTTAACTTGTAAATTTCCATTTGCTAATCCACTTACCTTCCACAGTCTGACATACATCAACTATAAAGAAATGTAAGCTTTGTATGTTGCATGTGGTATATTTACTGCTATATTAAAGTTACAATGTTCTGAAAATTTATTAAAGTTGGATTCAAAATTTTTCAGAATTGTTATTGTCATAGTTCAAATTGTAAAATCGTTTTTGATTTCTGATTTCCCAATTAGTTTTGTTATCTGCATTTCTTTCTGAAAATCAAAAATTGAAGTTTAACATGCAAATTGTAGATACAGCAATTAGATTTTAGATTAATATCAGTTCCATGTGTTGTTCAAATAAGACTAGGGGTCTCTTGCCTTATTATAAGCATGTATAGGGACATTTCTATATGCTGTAATGTCACAGTTTGTACCCGTTTGGTAAGGAAAACAATGTGTGCATGGGTGTACCTTGTTTCTTGAGGCAACACGTGGCCAGAAAATCCAGACATATTCACAGCCTTTCAACCTGAGCACAGTTCCCTTAAGATTTTAATAAAAAAAAGGATTCTTGGTAATTAAAGACTTCCCTCTTCTATCCTGTAGTTTTTACAGCTTGTCAGTAATTTCTTTCATTACATGGGAGATGCAGCCCAGATTTTTGGACCTGTATGTGGCTCATCTAGAGAAATCCCAGCTGAAAGACTTCATGGCCTAACTTCCAGGGCAGCTTCCTTTTTGAACAGGAAGGTAGGTTAGGGGGCCTTCCAGCTGGACTTTCTCTAGATGAGCCACATCTTAGTGTCTGTACGTTTGGGTCTGTCAGATAGAACTCCCAAATGGAGGATTCTGGAAGTCCAGGAAGTCTGAACATCAATCGTCTGTTGAATGCTAAAGTAAACATACTTTATTTATTAAACTATCATGTTTTGGCACTTTATAAACTATGGCCAGAATCTTATTAGGTATACTGTATCTATTCTGCATCTTAACTTGCACCAATTTGCCACTTAAAATTACACTGTTGGTGTTATGCTATCAAAAATACACAATAGAATAGAGATCTCCCTCTTACAAATTTCTCAGTCATTTGCTCTTCAGAATTCAGTAGATATCTCCACAGAGTTATAAAACTCCCATGAGGAAAGCCCCCAGAGTTTACAAAAGGCTGAAACACATTGGCTTAATAGAATAAAACATGTTTGCTTTGGCCTTCTGAGATTTGCTCTGCTCTTTTTTCTTTTTTTCTTCTTCTTTTCTTCTTTTTCTTCTTTTTTTGCTTTTTATGGTGAATGTACACAAATGCCAGCTTGAGTTTATCTTTGGAGATTATGCTGTGCCTTAGACCTATCATACATGAGTTTCTGTCAGATATTTGGATCATGCAGAATTTTGAAATGTTCAAAATCCCCTTTTAAAAGAGAAGTTTCCTTCCTTCCTTCCTTCCTTCCTTCCTTCCTTCCTTCCTTCCTTCCTTCCTTCACCTCTCTTGCAACATTTCTTATTTTCTATATGTTATATTTTGCATTGCACCCAATAAAGGGATGCAAGGCAACATAAGGCAACCTTTAAAATATGTAAATTTAAGGTTGCAATAAGGTAAAGGTAAAGGTTCCCCTTGACATTTAGTCCAGTCATGTCCGTCTCTAGGGCACGGTGCTCATCCCTGTTTCGAAGCCGTAGAGCTAGCATTTGTCCAAAGACAGTTTCCGTGGTCATATGGCCAGCATGACTAGACAGTAATGTAATATATTAACATTAAAATATGATTACACTGACGGTGTTAAAACGTAAGTAGTTAAAACAATTTTAAAAAACCAGTATATATAATATATGCATAATGTATACAAAATATCTGTTGTTGTTTAGTTATTTAGTCGTGTCCGACTCTTCGTGACCCCGTGGACCAGAGCACGCCAGGCCCTCCTGTCTTCCACTGCTTCCCGGAGTTGGGTCAAATTCATGTTGGTAGCTTTGATGACACTGTCCAACCATCTCGTCCTCTGTCGTCCCCTTCTCCTCTTGCCCTCACACTTTCCCAACATCAGAGTCTTTTCTAGGGAGTCTTTTCTTCTCATGCGATGGCCAAAGTATTGGAGCCTCAGCTTCAGGATCTGTCCTTCCAGTGAGCATGCAGGGTTGATTTCTTTCAGAACAGACAGGTTTGCTCTCCTTGCAGTCCAGGGGACTCTCAAGAGCCTCCTCCAGCACCACAATTCAAAAGCATCAATTCTTTGGCGGTCAGCCTTCTTTATGGTCCAGATCTCACTTCCATACATTGCTACTGGAAAAACAACAAGTCCTACAACTCGACTCCCCAACCCTGCAGTAATCCAAACAGGATGTAAATGCATAGCTGTGAACCTGTGCATTCAGGGAGAATATAATTCCATCTAGCACAGGATGGATCATTTTTCCCTGATCTGACCAGGGATTTGTGACTGACCAGGGGCACCTCTGTCTTGCCAGGATTAAACTTCAATTTGTTCTCTCTCATCAAGTGCATTTCATATATCAGGCACAGATTTATAGTCTTGGAATTAGATGAAATGGAGATGCAGACCTGGGTACCATCAACAAATCCTGAAACCTCAGACAGCCTCTCCCAGTGGTTTCTTGTAGGTGTTAAATAGCATTGGGGGGGGGGGTGATAGAATCCTGAGGGACAATACAGGCCACAGGCCAGGGAATTGAACAGGTGTCCTCCAATGCTGAATTAGCCTTCAGGAATAACTGGAACCTCTGCAAGAGTGCCTTCTATTCCTCTGAGCTGACTCAGAATGATACCATGGTTGATGGTATTGAAAGCTGATTAGAGGTCCAGCAGAACCAACAGAGACATATCTTCACTGGCCAGTATATGGTGGTCATCCATACATAATTGAGTACATGAACATCCAGACTGTATGTTATGTAAGATATGTTATTTACTTTTATTATGTGACCACACATCTAAATTAACATAAGAGATTTACTATTGATATTCTGAGATACGTATTTGTTAAAAGAACTGTGGCTGGGGTTGGGAAGGGTGATAATTTGTTCTTAGCCTTTCGCCTTGCATTACTGTCCTGTCCATGTTTGCGCCTGCTGCAGTGGGTCTTGAACGTGCATAAGAAGAAGAAAAAATAGGAAGACAATATTTCCCCTCCTAATGTTAACAAATGATTGTGTGTGTGTGTGTGTGTGTGTGTGTGTGTGTGTGTGTGTGTGTGTGTGTGAGAGAGAGAGAGAGAGAGAGAGAGAGAGAGAGAGAGAGAGAGAGAGATTGATTTATGTGAACAAATGGCAAGGGACTAAGAGTTTAGTGCTCTTTGTTACTGCTCTGAATTAACTGGAAGCCCCAACAGCTATAGACAGGTATAAAACAGCAAAATATAAGTAACATTAGCATTCACGAGGCATGGGATTTTCAGATATATTTCAGTTTTTTGAAAGGTACCCATAACAGAGCCTAATGAGCAGAGAAACTACCGCCCCCTAATCATTTGTAGTTCCCATGAAGGTTAGAAAGCTCCACCCATGTCCTTCTTTGTGCTTTAATGGCTCTTAGTATGGACTAAGCCTTGGTAAAGAATGGAAGTGTATCATGACACTCCTCCGAGAACTTGGATTTCATGACTAGCTGGGGCAATTAATGCTGAATTTTGGGAACTGCAGTGAACAAAATCCAAAAATCCCATGGCTAACATTGTCTAACAGCAGGGATAGGGAAGCCAGATGTTTTGGGCTTCAACACTGAGAAGTCTAAGGCAGCACAGAAAATGGCAAGCAGTCGTGACACTTTATGGTGCAAAACAATTGGGGGCGGGGGTGTTAAACTAATCCTACCTCTGATTTACAAAGGGCAGTGTGTCAGGATTGCAAGTAGGATCTCTCTCTTTTTTTTACCCCCCTTTTGTATTTGAGATTCTCTAAGCCTAGTTTGTTAATTAAAATAGGTGTGTAGTCTGGACTGGAGATGACCGAGTCTTCTTCTTCAACCCTACAATGCAGTTGTCAGTGTGGGAGAAACCGGTGGATCTAAAGAATCGTGGTGATATAAACAGAATCATTGAAGACCCACCTCATAAACGCAAACTGGAAACTTCAGCAAGTAACTAATGTTGTGATTATTTTTGTCTATTTAAATTTAAATGATGTGTGAAAATGCCAGTTGTTTAGTATGCAAAATTAAAATCTTAAATGACAGTCAATTGAATGTTGATTTTGTGTTAGTTTAGATTCTGATCACTGAATATTCTCTTGATAAATGCTAACTTTTAAGGGGTGGGTGGGGAAAGGACAGGAATGCACCTCTTAGGTGCAATCATCTTCAGAGGCTTTATTCAGTCTTCCACCACCAATGGAAGTGCACCTGGCAGAAAGCAAGCCATGACTTTCTCATTGCTGGCCCCTTTTGGGGGAACTCTTATTCAAGGAAGGCTAGGCCAGAAACAGACATTAGAAAAAACCTGTAACAGAAGTGAAAGCACATTAATGTTACAGAGTGGTGACTGAAGCAGCCTTTCCCTGTTTGTGAAATCAGACTTGTGCTTAAATCCTGAAAACCTGTTACCAAACAAAGTGAACGAATTTGCATAGTCCCAGCAGTGAAGGAAGCTCCTGCTGAGATAGCAGATGTTCCCATTGATTGGGGATTTCTGTCTTTCAGTCACTGGAAGTATCTAACCATTCTTTCTAAACTGTCCCATTGCTGGACAATACTTGATTGTGTGGTTGATACATTTTTATTCCACCATACTGGGTTTTTAAATTGTGTACATTATTAATTTCCAATTGCGGGTTTTATTCTGAAGCCAGTATTATGTACTGTATTTCTAACTACAAAACTCCAGCTGCAGAAGCTGCTGGGGTGAGCTACTGAGTTGTTAATTCTGTGTGACCAAGCACATAGCCAACACCTTCTTAGATCACTGCAGCAGCTTCCATAGCTGAAGTTTTGTGCATGTTGAACATATTGAACGTGATTTTGGCCCAAATGTTCAAAATTGTTTTGTAGTCTGTGGTTTTCAGATTTATTTTCCAAGCCTAATCATGTGCTGAAAAGTTATACAAAAATATTCTTAACAATCAGTCAATTAGATAATCAATCAAATTCACATCTTTTGTTACTCTCAGAATGCCAAACGTTTTATGTCTTCTGTTTACCGAATTTTGCAACATGATCTTCAACATGTTTCCAGGGATGATTTTGATGGAGTATTTATCTGAATACTGTACTTGTTTTTAGACCTGCTTGCTGAAACATCTTGATGGTTATCTTGTGCCTTTCCTGTAGTCATATTTTACTGGTTCATATTAGAAATACATCCTCATAGCTTGTTTTTGCCAAATGCCTTATTGACCAGGTTGCCCATGGGAGCTGTCCTGTAATAAGTGATTATTTAACCCAGCTTTAGGAAACAAATCTCAAAGTTGCATCTTACTCAAATGATGGAAGATCTGGCAGGAATATAGGTATTTCCATCCAGGTGCAACACTGTTATTTAGTCTTTGGGCACCAGAGACTGCTTACAGACATTCTTGGCACGCAAAAAGAATTCTAGCTGCTGTGCTGAGAGTATATTTTAAATTGTCAGAATACACTATGCTGTAATATTTTAAAGGATCAGCACATGTGGGCAAGTCAACTGTGCTTGTTTAGCTTTTGTGGGGAAGTGAACATTCTCTTGACGCAATTTCTTTCCTATATTTTGCTTTCAGGTATTATCCCACCCAGATTGAACTTCTGTTTGTAGCTTATTTATTAGCCTGCATAATTTGTAAATCAGTAGGCCAAACAGAGCTAACTATTTATGTGTGTTATGGCAGTGGTTCTTAACCTTTTTGAAAGAAACGCCCCCTTGGGCCATTGATGAAGTTATCATTGCCCCCTGCCCCACGGCGATATTTATTTATTTATTTAAGAAAGACACTTAAATCCAATGACTCCTGAAAATAAAATTCAACAGCCAGCCAGCCACAACAGGACAAGAAAAGCCGGAAAAGCTGCTGAATTCCCACCCACCCAGGATGGACCCGAGCCAGCCCTGTCCCTAGAAA